GTGTCACATAGAGTTGTGTGTAGGGTACATGGTGTGTGTCACATAACATAGAGTTGTGTGTAGGGTACATGGTTTAAACAGAATTTCTTTTCTTAGAGGTTGTCCAACTTAGAAACTAATGATCATCCAAACCAAAATATAGGACAAGGTCGTCGATTGATTTTGGATGTGGTCCACAAGAGGCCAGCATTAGTCGTTAGTGTAGCTTGTAAATTGATGATAGTACTAAATACATGATCATACGTAGAAATGGGTAGCACGTCCTTATGTATAGAATGATTGTAAAACAGATTGTGCAGATGTGCATGCGTGGTACACAAATCCCTGATGGGTCGATAGCAAATCCAGCACGTTACTTTTTCGGGGGATTTGTTTGTTTGTTTGATTTTGTTTAACGTCCTATTAACAGCTAACGTCATTTAAGGACGGCCTCCCCTGTGTGCAAAATGCATGCGTGTAGTGTATGTGTGTGTATTTTGGGAGGCTGCGATATGTTCGTGTTTGTCTCCTTGTGATAGCGCCGAACTGATGCCGACTTTATAGTGCTACCTCACTGAAACATACTGCCGAAAACACCCAGCAGGACGCCCCACCCGGTTACATTATACTGACAACGGGCGAACCAGTCGTCCCACTCCTTATTTGCTTAGCGTTAAGCAGGAGAAGAAACTACCATGTTTAAAGACTTTGGTATGTCTCGGCCAGGGGACAGAACCCAAAGCCTTCCTCACAGGGGCGAACGCTCAATAAATGGCCAAAAGTGAGGCATTGTCAAGGGAGACATTAGGAAGAAGAAAGTTATTTAGAAAGGAGAGAAGAGAAAAGGTCCCAAATTTAGTCGCCTCTTACGATCATGCAATTGGGGGCAGCAGGTACAATTCTTACGCCCTACCTGCAGGTTTTTTTTTCGGGGGATATCCTGCCCCTGTCGAGGCTCTCTTATAGCTGCCCCGTAATTTTCCATACGTTTGCCCGCGCCCACACGGAGTTTCTATCAAAGTTGGTTTGCTATGCTGAAAGTATCTGTTCTAAGCATCAAGATTTTCCTTTAAGATACATTTATGTGGGCTGTGTAGACCAATACGTAATGTAATCATCTTTCAACAACATGCAGAAAGACCGCAGAAACCTACGCATCTTGATTTTCACGACTTTCTAGGTAAATGTTCGTTGTAAACCAATCAACTAACTAACCAGAATTTCCTACTCTAGATGTTCCGGTGCAGCCTTTCAAACTTAATTATATCGGTCGTCATCTTGACCTATACCATGTTCAAATACTTGTCCCTAAGACATCCGGGCGCATCGCTGGAACATAAACGATTTACATGCATCCGACCCTATCACAACCCATGAAAATGTTTTTTCTTTAATCTAGAGGCTCAGTGTTACTTTCTGATGAATATCGAGAGGAATATTTTAGTGTTAAAAGGATTTTTTTTTTTTTTTTTTTTACTGTGCAATAATTTAATCATATATTTAAGATGCATTCAAATTAAAAACACATTAAAAATACATTTGAGGATTTTTGATGTGCATGCAACTACTATAATACTGTTTACATGACAGCTGCGCGCCTGATCTCAGATCGCCGGTCATCTATACTCTCCTAGATTTAACATTAAACATATGACGGGGGCCACACATATATAGTGCTCAAAATACTTACCCTTCTTGGGCATATCTTCAATCAAATTTCAAGTGTAGATATATACAACATATCTTCTCAAATAATTGAAAATATCTTCAATTGAATTTAAGTTAATTAATCTTAGTTAATAGCACCTCATGTTCCACTGAGTTTAGCTGACAGTTATTTAAGGAAAACGGTTGACAATCACCACGTCATTTATGCACAGCTAAAATTGTATCATGGACTGAATATGAAAACCCGCGGTAGGTATGATATTTTTTCTATAAAGACTACATTTTTAACTTAGCGGATATTGAAATACATTTCATTCTTCTTTTAGTCTTTTGATTAATCTTAAATGTACGTAATTGTAATTGATACACTGATTATGCAGATCTCTTGTAAAGTTATGTATATTTTTAAAAAGAATAAGCTTATAGAGCTGCTATATCAAATAGAAAGGACAGAGAAAATTACGGGGAAAAGATCTAAGACTGATCAATATGTTGGGAAAGGAATATGAAACATGAGAATGTATGCGATTTTCTTCAAGAGGCTCGCTGTTGTTCGTTATCTTCACTGCCTCAATTTCGAAACAATCACTTGACATATTATAAATTAATCTGCGCTAAATTTACCCGGGGCTTCCCCGATATTTCAGTGGTCAAAACTGGACATTGCAAGCAGAATTCGACCATCATATTGCCGTGGTATAACTTTTCGAAGGCCAGAGAACGTAATTAGACCCATTTATTTTGTATTTTTCCCCCCGACCAGCCCCTTTAAACTATACATAACTGTACGTTTTTATTTTTATGTTGAAAACTTCAGTCTTGAAGCCCATCATTTTTAAAGGTAAAATAATTCAATAAACAACCAGATGATTTTACTCTTTATTGACGGTAGGCGGTAACTGTTTTTGAAATACTGATGACTAGGATGTTGCCGAAAACATGATCATTATCATAACGCGGGAATGTGAAGTCCTGCGAAATAGATCCAGCGATTGCGAAATAGTTTACTAATTACCTCCCCTTGTGTGTTGTCACGTGACATACTAAATTCGACGGGAATCTGCTGCCTCTAATTAGGCCTAAGCGAAATACTCTAAACCGAGGTGGGGCACACCCGACAATGTAAGTACTTTACTGAGAGGTAACCCGTGAGTTAGGCTGAATTTCAGTATTCTAGCGAAATTGTTTGTGAAATGACTACAAGACCGTTTTTCATCGGTTGACTCCCACATTCCACCGCTTCCATGAGAATGTAAACAAACAGGTTGTGAACTTTCACCGAAGGCGAAGTCTGACCAGAGATGTAAACTTGTACCAGTCGAATGTTTTGTCGTCAGGGCCAGCTCTCATGTATCACAAATTCTACTCATCCCAAGGAAGTAATTTAGCCAACAAATCAACAGACTTATTATCTAAAGAATAATTTGTTAATTCAGTAGGTTTTATTTTCGGAGCATCAATTGGTCGCCATGTCGCCCGTTTTGACGAATGAAAGCGAAGAGTACACAATAATGTTCATGGACATTTATTTCATTTCTTTTAAGTATATTTAAGACATTCAAGACCCTACAAGGAAAAATACAAACTAATTAAATTCTAGTTAAAAAAAGTGTTACAACATATATGGACAATAAATACATTATATGCTTTACATTTATCCAGAGACGTATAATACAGAGATTGGCAACTTGCTCTTGGCCTTACCATTGGTCACTGGTAACCCGATGTCATATCGCGAGTTACGCTTCACCTGCGCTATATTGGATATACGGTTCGCTGCATTAAATAATCCTTTCCTGTTCAAAACATAATTATGCCATGAGAAAACATCGAAAATCAACGTAATATTAAACCCGCAGCTAGCTGAGATTTCCATGCGGTTTGGGAGTGCTACATTGAATGTTAACTTAAATTATTAAGTTTAGAAAACACCAAACATCGAAAGATTGCACATCGTGGCTGTGTTTACATATCGGTAATGATTCTGGCTTCAGGAGAACACAAACTTCGTTTTTGTTCTTTAGACAATTTCAAAAATGTTTTCAGAAATTAATTATTGGATAATATTTCTAACCAGGAAATTAAAATGAGGTTGTTACAATACTTGCAAAGTTTCATAATTTAGCTATGTAAATACAGTTTTTCTGAGTAAACAAGTTAAAATGGCGGCTTGGATGTGTGAGGGTTATTTCTATCATGACAAATTAGAACACGAACTCCGTTTTTGTTCTTTAGACAGTTTAAAAAAAGTTTTCAGAAATTAATTATTTAATGATATTTCTAACAAGGAAATTAAAATGAGGTTGTTGCAAAGTTTCATAATTTAGCAATGAAAATACAGGTTTTTAAGAATAAACAAGTAAAAATGGCGGCTTTGACGTGTGAGGATTTTTTTCTTTGTGTGTTTACATTAAAACACGAACTCCTTTCTAATTCATTATTTAATTTCAAATACATCTTCAGATATTTATTCAAACATAATATTTCTAGACAGCTCTTGCAAAGTTTGATAATTGAGCTCTGAAAAAACGGCAGCTGTGATGTGCGAGGGAATTCCTTTCATGACACCGGCACTCCTCTCTCGTTTGTTATTTTATTTCAAAAACGTATTCAGATATTACACTATATTTCTAACAAGCTTCTTTATATGAGCCATATATCTAGGATATGTGACATGTTGACACGAACTAACGAATACACGATCGAATTATCATAGGTAACTCACTGACCAGACTATCGTCACCAGGATCGATAAGCTGTCAAAACAAACACTCATGCCGCAACCCAAGTCTCGTAGCATTTCTCAGGGATGCATGTTTTTGCGAGATCTGCGTGAGTTGCCAATCTCTGTATTATACGTCTCTGATTTATCTAAATTACTCGAAAGTTTGAAACATAAGTTAAAATTTACTTTATAATGAAATATACATTTCATTATACAGATACCAAAATACATTACATTTATTCAATACTTAATTAATAAATCATATATACGTGTCCAATACAGAATTTTACACAAAGTACGTTATCTATGTACCTACCCCTAACTTATATATAGATATTACAGTAAGAATAATAATGCTTATAGTTAAATTATTAAAATACATTAAGTACGTACCAATTATTTAGATTTCCCATATACTACTTGTCTAGCTTTGTCTACTGTCAACATGTCCGCTGTCAAATGTCCAATATGAATGACTTACACGCCAAACTTACACAAAGACTGACCATATAAAACCAAAACGAGGCACTTGCATACACACTTTTACCTTACACCTACCAGGTACATACATACCACAGGTAACATACATCACGTGACACGGACAGTACAGGTACACAGACACACACTCTAACCTTACACCTACCAGGTACATACCACAGGTAACAAACATCACGTGACACGGACAGTACCGGTACACAGACATACACACTCTTACCTTACCCCTACCAGGTACATACATTCCACAAGTAACATACATCACATGACACGGACAGTACAGGTACACGGACATACACACTCTTACCTTACTCCTACCAGGTACATGGTATACCACAGGTAACATACATCACATGACACGGGCAGTACCGGTACACAGACATATACACTCTTACCTTACACCTACCAGGCACATACATACCACAGGTAACATACATCACGTGACATGGACAGTACGGGTACACGGACATACACACTCTTCCCTTACACCTACCAGGTACATGGTATACCACAGGTAACATACATCACATGACACGGACAGTACAGGTACACGGACATACACACTCTTACCTTACACCTACCAGGTACATCCATACCACAGGTAACAAACATCACGTGACACGGACAGGACAGGTACACAGACATACACACTCTTACCTTACCCCTACCAGGTACATGGTATACCACAGGTAACATACATCACGTGACATGGACAGTACGGGTACACGGACATACACCCTCTTACCTTACACCTACCAGGTACATGGTATACCACAGGTAACATACATCACATGACACGGGCAGTACCGGTACACAGACATATACACTCTTACCTTACACCTACCAGGCACATACATACCACAGGTAACATACATCACATGACACGGACAGTACAGGTACACAGACATACATACTCTTACCTTACACCTACCAGGTACATAAATACCACAGGTAACAAACATCACGTGACACGGACAGTACCGGTACACAGACATACACACTCTTACCTTACACCTACCAGTTACATACATACCACAGGTAACATACATCTCGTGACATGGACAGTACGGGTACACGGACATACACACTCTTACCTTACACCTACCAGGTACATGGTATACCACAGGTAACATACATCACGTGACACGGGCAGTACCGGTACACAGACATACACACTCTTACCTTACACCTACCAGGCACATACATACCACAGGTAACATACATCACGTGATATGGACAGTACAGGTACACAGACATACACACTCTTACCTTACACCTACTAGGTACATGGTATACCACAAGTAACATACATCACATGACACGGACAGGATAGGTACACGGACATACACACTCTTACCTTACACCTACCAGGTACATGGTATACCACAAGTAACATACATCACATGACACGGACAGTATAGGTACACGGACATACACACTCTTACCTTACACCTACCAGGTACATGCGATACCACAAGTAACATACATCACATGACACGGACAGGATAGGTACACGGACATACACACTCTTACCTTACACCTACCAGGCACATACATACCACAGGTAACATACATCACGTGACACGGACAGTACAGGTACACGGACATACACACCACATTGACGATACAGTACGAATACTAGGACTCGCAGCGCTATGCATATTTGAATATTAAAATAACATATACATTGCAAATATTATCCCGGTTTCATTAACTTAAAATGTTACTTACCAAAGGGCTGGTGATTGGGCCAATCCCTACCGACCAAACTCTCAGACATTAACATATGTTAATATAATTGATTGACATGTACTGGTATATAACTTATACTAATGAAAATCTGATACAAACGATACATTTAAACCAATTGATTTTTATAAAAATTTGTTTGCTTTTTGCAGAAGAGGGCTGTTGGTGGTTGGGCCAGTCCCTAACGTCCAAACTCTCTTACTGCATAAAGTAATAGTAATTGACATGATGAGTTGATGACACAACATAAAAAAGTGGAATGTAAATAGGATTTAAGTCAGATGTATAATGATTTTAAATAATTCAATTGACAAATTTTAACAAGTTTTATTTAAATTAATTGCTACTTACATAAGAGGGCTGGTGGTTGGGCCAATCCCTACCGACCAAACTCTCAGACTGCATATAAAGTAACAATATTACCGTACTTTAATAACAGTGTTTATGATAATATTTGACTTGAGAGTAATAGAGTATATCACTGAAGTCTCACTTTAAGTTAAATACACTTTCTATATAAATTATGAATCCCTGACAGTACACTTATTGATTTAACTTCTTATGTAGAGAGTTAAGTTTCTGTTTTACTGCGTTGATGTATTAACGTGACAGTGTTTTGTTATTATAGCCTACGACTGACCATATATCTGAAGACTGACCAGGAAAACTGACTACCAAACACCCCTACACCGCCCTCACACTGACGGCGGTCGAACCCCACCCAGGGATGGACCCCACCAACGGAGAATCCGGTAATTACCGGACCTTACTAAATGTCCAGCCATCTTCCAACACAGACAAGGGAGTAGTGGAGATGACAGGCCTGCTCTCCAATCCTGTGGACGGGCAGGACGAGCCCATCCATCCCATAAAACGCTCGGAGAGTGCTGAACTACTCAACTTCACTCTTCATCAGGTAGGTTAGGCTCTTCATCAGGTATGTTAGGCTATGCAGACAAACAACAAAAATATATGAATTTAGCGGAACTGGACTGGGTTAATCGTGGGCAATCAGGTAGCTCAATTTGTAGAGTGTCCGTCTACAGGTCGGAGGATCCTGGGTTCCAACCCCGATCTGGGCGTGTATTTTTCCTCTCCTGTTACAGTGGTGCCTGTGACCAACCCCGATTTGGGCGTGTATTTATCCTCTCCTGTTACAGTGGTGCCTGTGACCAACCCCGATCTGGGCGTGTGTTTTCCCTCCTGTTACAGTGGTGCCTGTGACCAACCCCGATTTGGGCGTGTATTTATCCTCTCCTGTTACAGTGGTGCCTGTGACCAACCCCGATCTGGGCGTGTGTTTTCCCTCCTGTTACAGTGGTGCCTGTGACCAACCCCGATTTGGGCGTGTATTTATCCTCTCCTGTTACAGTGGTGCCTGTGACCAACCCCGATCTGGGCGTGTGTTTTCCCTCCTGTTACAGTGGTGCCTGTGACCAACCCCGATTTGGGCGTGTATTTATCCTCTCCTGTTACAGTGGTGCCTGTGACCAACCCCGATCTGGGCGTGTATTTATCCTCTCCTGTTACAGTGGTGCCTGTGACCAACCCTGATCTGGGCGTGTGTTTTCCCTCCTGTTACGGTGGTGCCTGTGACCAACCCCAATCTGGGCGTGTATTTTTTCTCTCCAGTTACAGTGGGCCCTGTAACCAACCCCGATCTGGGCGTGTATTTTCCCTCCTGTTACAGTGGTGCCTGTGACCAACCCCGATCTGGGCGTGTATTTTCCCTCTCCTGTTTCAGTGGGGACTGTGACCAACCCCGATCTGGGCGTGTATTTTCCTTCCTGTTACAGTGGTTCCTGTGACCAACTCCAGTCTGGGCGTGTATTTTCCCTCTTCTGTTACAGTGGTGCCTGTGACCAACCCTGGTCTGGGCGTGTATTTTCCCTCTCCTGTTACAGTGGTGCCTGTGACCAACCCTGATCTGGG